TAGCATACTCTAATGATATTGACATAATAGGCCGTGGCAAGCAAGATGTTGGGCAATATTTTCTAGAATTGGAAACAGCTGCGAGACACGTCGATCTAGCCATCAACGAAGACAACCATGCTGGTTACGAAGGATCTTATAGTTAATAAGGAACGGAAAACAGTCTTTGGAAGCCATATCTTTGAATGCGTTGACAGTTTCACGTACCTTGGATCGCTAGTGACTAATATCGATAACAAAACAAGCGAAAAAATTAATAGACGAATAAACCTTACTAATAAGGCATACTATGGACTAAAGAATAATTCCACTCAAGAAATACCCAAAGAAGAACTAATGTTATTAAATTCAGAACACTACTGAGGCAGGTCGTCACATATGGGGCGGAAACATGGACTCTAACGCAGAAGGATAAAACATTTTTGGGAATGCTCGGTTGTAAAATACTACGCAAAATATTTAGAGCTATAAACGACTAAGGGTAGTGGTGAAAAAAATATAATTTCGAATTATACTAACAACAAAAATAAATATTGTTTATCATTAAATTGGTAGAGCTTTTTTCATACATATTTTTTTTTTCTGCTAATTATTTATTTCTGCTAATCTATTCCATTAATTACAAGCTACTATAAATATATTTAATAATACTCTAAAATTATTGTTGTAGGTCAGAAATTTCCCAACGATCCAAAGGAATATGAATTTTTAACACCAGACCAAGTTGGTTTTGGGGATCCACTACCACCAAGGCCATTAAAAATAACCAACACGTATGCAGTTCCCACATCACTTCAGATCCAACCGCAAGTTCCACCACCGCCCTCTCCTACGCCTCCTCAACTGTCCACATTTGCTCAAATACAAACTTTACCACCAGTTCGATCAACGTACAATAAACGAAATCCAAATTTTTACAGTTCAGTTCAATATAAAAAATAGTTAGTAAAAAACTATTATTGTAGTAGTTACTATAATTGTAGTTTAAGTTTAAGTTTGTATTTTCGTCTATTACGTTGGATAAAATTAAAGGTTTAATTCATTTATAAGATATAAATTGTTATTTATAAATGTTGTAAGCATGTGTTTGTTAATAAAGAACTTAAAAATATTATACCAAGTTATAGTTTATTCGTCTTCCGGGTTTGGACCGTGTCATTTGTGAGTGACCCAAAAGTGGGTTCATCTCGACGTTTCGCTACAATTATATGTAGCTTCTTCAGGAGAACAAAGAAAAGGAAAAAAGAAAACAAAAGAACAGGAAGATGGGTAGTTAGCAACGGTAACTCAGTTACTCAACGCAACCAGAGGCGAATACTAACTACCAAGATGGGCATTTGGTCACAGTAACTCAACTACTCAACGCAGCCAGAGGTGAAAACCAAATGCCAGGACAGGGATTCACGTCCAACAGCTCAGAACACTAACGCGTCGAGAGGCGGGGATTGAATCCGACGATTACTCCGCTACCGCTCTATTTATAGTCAAGAACGTCAAGAAGCGCGCGCTGGCCAATCATGTGGCTGCATAGTGGTGGCGGGACCGGACGGTGGCTCTAGACTGAGATTCCAGATGGGAGACAAGTAGTATCCTTCCTCTCGATTGATATTATGGGGATTTTTTCGGATCTCTAGAGATTCGCGGATTTTCCTGGAATAAAAGAAGGGGCTCTTAGAAATAATATGGGTTTTTTCGAACAATATGGAATGACCGGTTTCTTGGCAGTGTTTGGCAACTGCAGAATGGGAGAAAAGACCTGATCGAATGCATCTTTGATGCTCTTGAATCCGAGTTTTGACGGAACGACCAGTTTCGCCAATATACACATGTCCACATGAACAAGGAATAGAATAGACACCACAGGAAGATAGGGGCGGTAATGAGTCCTTAGGAGAGGGTAGATATTGAGAAATTTTCTTGGGTGGTCGAAAAGTAGTCCTGATACCTTCTTTGCGAAGAATTTTGCCAATCCTATCAGTGACATTTCGAATATACGGAAGAAAAGCCACAGGAGTATTACCCGAAGATTCTGAATTTGTTGTCCTAGGGTGTAAAGGGGGATTTAGATGTCGGTGTGTAATATTTTGAATTGTGGACTTGGAGTAACCATTGGCGACAAGGGTTTTTTGCAGATGGCCAAGTTCTTCTCTAAGGTTGTCGGGTTCAGAAATCGAAATGGCCCGATGGATGAGAGAGTTGATCACAGAATTCTTTTGGGCAGGATGGTGGTGTGATGAAGCATGTAGGTAACGATTAGTGTGAGTCTTTTTTCTATAAACAGAGTGACCCAATCGGCCATTGGGCTTGGAGGTGACTAACACATCGAGAAAGGGAAGGGACCGATTATTTTCTACTTCCATTGTGAATTTTTCATCACACACCACCACCATCCTGTCCAAGGTCCACCACCATCAGAATCTTCGGGTAATACTCCTGTGGCTTTTCTTCCGTATATTCGAAATGTCACTGATAGGATTGGCAAAATTCTTCGCAAAGAAGGTATCAGGACTACTTTTCGACCACCCAAGAAAATCTCTCAATATCTACCCTCTCCTAAGGACTCATTACCGCCCCTATCTTCCTGTGGTGTCTATTCTATTCCTTGTTCATGTGGACATGTGTATATTGGCGAAACTGGTCGTTCCGTCAAAACTCGGATTCAAGAGCATCAAAGATGCATTCGATGTTCTATCTATGCTAACTACCCATCTTCCTGTTCTTTTGTTTTCTTTTTTCCTTTTCTTTGTTCTCCTGAAGAAGCTACATATAATTGTAGCGAAACGTCGAGATGAACCCACTTTTGGGTCACTCACAAATGACACGGTCCAAACCCGGAAGACGAATAAACTATAATTCTGACTCTGGCCGTGGAAGCCTACGATTTCATATTATACTAAGTATTAATTTTTTGCTATCTCTACACCACAAAATTTTCATTCTGGGCAAATCTGTGCGGCAAAGACATTTTGGGTCTATTGAGTTGAAAACTTATTGAGTTCTAAAAGTTACTTATTTCTTTATTTAGTTAATCTACTTAAAAGGATCCATGTAAAAATCATATTTATTTTCTGCAAATCAACGATACTAGTTTGTAATGAGTGTCCTAATAGGTCACTTTAATAGAAAGCACATTTTTCTTTAGATTGTAATAATTCCTTATTGAATCATAAAGTAAATAATGGAGGGTTATGTATCTGTAAAATACCATATGGGGCAAATGGCTTTCAAGGCTTTAGTGGTATAAACGCAGTCTTTTATCAAAATTTTCCATGTCTATTTTGCATAAATACATTGAATCTCCTCCTTTAAGGCAAGGGTGGTTGTAATCTTGGTGGCATAGACTTTTAACTTCAAATAATCCCATAAAAAATCTAATGGCGCTAAATCACACGATCCAGCGGATCAATTCTGATCACCAAAACGAGAAACTACACGTCCAGAGAATGTTAGACGCAGTAATTAAATTGTTTCTAAGGCTGTAAAACTGTCTTGTTGAAACCACATATCATTCACACCAAAATCATAAAATTTAGGCAGCAAGAACTCTCTTATCACGTTACGATATCGAGCACCAGTACCTGTCACTGCTTGACCAATCCCATTTTAAAAAAAAATGGTCTAACAATAGCTTCAGCCCTAAATTCGTACCAAACAGTGCCAAGTTCTGAATACATTTCCGCGACAGTCACGCGGAATTTTTCCATTAAGATGAAAATATATGCTTCATCACTTTGGATTATTTTACTCGAAAAAATCAGCATCCACTTCTTGATGTTACGAATAAGTCTTGACGAATCCATTTAACGAACTCTCTTTGCTGTTTATGGTCATTAGGCTTCATTTCTTGTGTCAATTAAACTTTGTAAGTATGGAGATACTTACAAACAGCAAGAACAAAAATTGGCAACGAACTCACTGAAATCGTGCAGATCAAAAGAGGTGTCCGTCAGGGGTGTATATTATCCCCACTCCTATTCAATATGTATTCCCAGGAAATATTTAACAAATGTATGGAAAATGCAAATGAGGGCATTAAAATAAACGGCGAGTTAACAAACAATATAAGATACGCCGACGACACGGTGATCCTTGCCAGTTCCATAGACGAATTACAATAAGTAATGGAAAGACTTTATTCAGTTAGTGAGGAATACGGCCTGAGCCTCAACTTCAAGAAGACAAAGTGGATGCTGATAAGCAAAAAGCAACAACCTGCTCGACAATTACGGATAAGTAATATATTAATTGACCATGTAGAATCTTATGTGTACCTTGGCACCAACGTAAATGCAAAATGGGAACAGACCATAGAAATTAAGGCGAGAATAGAACGAGCTAGAGCAGCATTTAGCAATATGAAAAAGCTCCTCATAAGCAAGGATTTGTCTCTTCCCCTAAAACTACGTATAGTTAAATTTCCCGATCTTGCTGTATGGCGTGGAGGCCTGGACGCTGACGGAGACGCTAACGAGAAAACTAGAAGCATTCGAAATGTGGGTGTACCGACGCATTCTTCGTATATCCTGGACCGAACATGTCACCAACATAGAGATACTCCAAAGAATCGGAAAGGAGAAAGAAATCGTGAATACAATTAAACAAAGAAAGCTTGAATATCTAGGCCACATATTGAGACACGATAAGTACCGTCTGCTACAATTGATTGTCCAGGAAAAAATAGACAGTAAGCGAGGGCCAGGCAGGAGAAGACACTCGTGGCTCCAAAATCTGCGGAAGTGGTTCGGGCTCACATCGGTCGAACTATTCAGAAGCGCCGCAAACAAGATCAAAATTGCCATGTTAATAGCCAACGTTCGCAACGGACAGGGCACTTGAAGAAGAAGAAGAAGTATGGAAATGCAGACTGCATCAGTCTGCAATTTCAGACATTATGGTTGTAGTCAGTAAAGTGACTACGTAGAGTATGCGTTGTAGAGAGCTTCTTGAAATTTGTAATTCTTGTCCAAGACGCCGAATTGATTTTCCGAGACTTTTACCTTTTATGCACTGCTTTGATATTGACCTTTGATCGGCTTATTTTTGGACGGATCGGTGTTAGTGTCAGCAATTGATCCAGTCTTCCTTAATTTTTCAATTACTCTCTTCACAGTTGCTGAAGTTAAATTAAAATTCCGACCATAATTTGTACGAAATTTTTTAACTCTGACCGCCAAACTTTCATTATTTTTAAAATATTGTTTATTAATAATATTTGGTTGAGACATTTTTACTAACTCTAAACTGTCAGCTGTTAAACTGTATTTGTTTCATTGTTGTTTACTGCACAAGTGGCAGTATATTCAAATGTTTCGTAAATTTTGGTACACCTATTATACATATAGTTATACAACCAACTACACTCGTTATAATATAGTAAGATTACTTTTACTATTATTTTGAATATAAAAAATATATTGAAAGCGAAGTCGATAACTCCATAAACTAACCATTTCAGAGTTCCTTATAAAATAAAAAAATTGTTGTTATTGTTTAAATCTTTTTCATGCAGTACCTAATGTCTTATTATGATACACTTTATTATAGGGTAAAAAAGAACTACTCTCAAAACAAAATGGGAAATTTCGGATTCGGCATAAGAAGTACAATAAACTTAAGGAATTCCTGAAACCTGAAAAAAATGTATGATATAGATATACCTACGTGCCAAATAGAATAGCTTTTACAAAAAATCATAACAAACAGTGGACGTAGAAGGCATCTAACAAAATTACTAAAATGAAATAGACTGTTTTCTCTCAAACAACAGGATATTTCTGAAGATATTTATTATTACCAGAAGATTTCACAAAAAAAAACAACGTAAAAAACGAAAGTCAACTAAAACATAAATTAACAGGACTGCATGTCGCAAAGAAAATAAGAACTGAAGAAGACAAAATAAGTAACGAAATAAAGCAGCTATTAAAGGAAAGAAAACAACTACTAGACGAAATCAAACGTCATAGTCAAGAATACTAGATCTAAATGAAACAATTAGCAAGAAACTAAAATGTGACATTCAAAAATGGAATACGGATTTTGTCGAGCAAGTCATAAAAAACAACAAAGGCTTAAAATGTCATAAGAATAACACTAGGTTTTTAACCGATTATCAATACTAAAGAAACCAATTACAAAGATAAAAATGACAAATATAAAATAACAAAGACAGTTAAAACTTCTACAAAACGTTGTACAGGTGGGAAAGTCACCTTAATCAACAAACAAAATATAAACAAATATAAAGAGTTTCCAGCTGTTCTCCGTGCGTAGAGGTTTTCTCCCCGGCTCTGGAACTCAATTTTTTGCAATGTATGTTACCTGAAGTCATATTTAATTTAATAATGAACATCACAGTTTTTAAACAACAAGATGCATATTCTTATACAACTATATGTAATTTAAAGGGTTTTTACCCATGTATTTTTGGTGGCTCAGGCATTTTAACCTAGCAATTTTAAACCTGATGATGGACTGTTTAGTCCGAAAACGTTTGTTTTTTTGATGTAGCCCTTTTAAGGGCTTTTAAATAAATATACCCACTTACGAAGAATAATCTTTTTTTTTAAATATAAAGGGATTAAAAATAAAAAGAAATTTAAGAGAGCTAAAAAATAATACAGCTCCAGAACAGGATTTTGTCGAGTCTGTTATAATTGTCGAGTTTTTCAAACTAGGGAAGAAGACCAATACCAATCACATTCAACAGATTTGTCTTACAGATCTCTTGTTAGTAGCAAAGCCAGTAAAGACTATAATGAAAGTCTGGTAATGCTTCTACGCAAAAAATAAACATATGGCAAGAGCATGACTTATAGATCATAAGTTCTCAAGCCAATTTAAAGCAGAGAGAGGGGATACCTTTTAAACCTCTTATTCCAAATTAACGTAAATTAAAATGAAATGAAATGAAATTAAATGAAATTTAACAAATTTGTAGTAAAAATTTCTCTATAAAAAGCCCTCTATAATATTGCTCTCCAGAAAAAAAAGTTCAATATTTAGTTGTGTGCTGGCATCGATAGTGTCCACATCAATTAAGTGCTAATTAGTTTTCAATTTATAAGCAGTTAAAGTTTAGTTTTTTAAATAGTAAGGATAAATAAAACAAGGAAGGATTGTTCTTTATATTTAAAAATGGATGATTCTTTGGGTGGCGAAAAGTCACCCCCTGATAAAGGTGAAAATATGGAGGCAGTAAGTGCCCGTTTTGATTTAACTAATAGGTATAAATCTTCTGATAAAGGCCCGTTTTTTGTTTCTGTCCATCTTTGAATATTTCTATATTTAAAAATTACTTAGAAAAATGCCTTCTAGACACTCATTCTATAGATGTTACATCTTTGGAAATGTTTAATAACTTAATAACAACAATAAGCGAAGCTGCAGACTCTGCTATGATTACTCAAAAATCATTTCAACCAAAATTCAGGTCTTCCCGTATGTGGGACAACCAATGTAAAAATTTAATATCTTATCGAAAAAAAGCTTTTCGAGAGTATAATATTATCTCAAATCTTAAAAATTATCTAAAATTTAAACACATCCAAGCCAAATGCAAAGTTGCTTTTATGAAAAAACAAAAAACACCTTGGATCAACTTTGTAAATACTATCAATAAAAATACACCGCTCAACAAAATATGGAAGTTTGTTAATAAAATGGCTAGCAAAAATTATCATTCAAAGACAACCAATTTCAGCAGAGCAAATAGAAGAGTTACTTGACAAATTCGCTCCACCATACGTTCAAGACCAATTAAAACACGTATCAATATGCAATTCCAGTAAATTTAAATTACCAGAAAATCCAATAAACATCCAAGAACTGGATGCAGCTATTAAAATATCAAAATCTACTGCGCCCGGGAGAGATTATATCACTTATTCCATAATTAACCACCTTCCCGATAAGGCAAAAAATCTTTTATTAAAAATATTTAATGATTGGCTTTTGAAAGGAAATTACATTGACAAAATGAAAGAAACAATTATATGTCTTTTTATCAAACCCAACAAAGACAAAACTCTCTCATCGTCTAATCGACCCATTTCTCTATTGTCTTGTATAACAAAAACTTTCGAAAGAATCATCAAAATCGTCATAACTGGACATCGAACACTATAATCTTTGATTTCGATCTGTCTGGGAACACTAGATGCAATAAGTCACTTAACAACAGATATCCAACTAAATTTTTCTAAAAATAAATATTTAGCATGTTTCTTTCTAGACCTTAAAGGCGCTTACGATTGTGTTAACTTAACAGTAATGCATTCAAAGTTATGCCAACTGGGGTTGTCCACAAATTTATCCGCTAATATAGTTAATCTTTTTAGCAACCGAAATTTATATATCAGATACCATAGTAATCAGTTATATTCAGTATATTCAGTATATCAGTTATATCAGTATTAGTTTAGCTTCCGAACAGAACGCACGTGTCGGTCCGAGGGTTTCGTTAAATAGTGCAATAAAAATATAAACTTTCAGTTTGCCAGTCGGTCCGAGGGTTTCGTTAAATAGTGCAATAAAAATATAAACGTTCAGTTTGCTAGCCAAGGGATAAAAACATTTGGTTTTCTTAGAAGCATATTATATCCGCCATCCGCTTAAGTTCAAAACATTAACAGATGGTGTCACTTCGCTCGAAAACAAAATATCTGCTGTATTCACGAAATATATAAAGGGTACCATACACAAAAATGTATGAAACCGACACAAACAAAATACTAAAAGAATTAGATATTATCAAAAAAGAATTAAAAAGCACCATAGAAGAAAGTCAAAACAAAATCTTAGAAAGTCTAAACGATAAAATTAAACGGCTGGAGAATGAAAATTTATCTCTGCGAAAAGCCCTAGAAAGTATGCAAATAACTTGCAAGAAAAATAATCTAGTAGTATTTGGATTAGAAAATTCTACAATTTCGGAAATCCCGAAGCTGTGTAGTGATCTAAGCAACGCGCTAAAAATAGACATTTCAGAAAAAGATATAAGTGACGTATACTGCATGGGCAGTACGGATAAAGGCCCAATTAAAATTGAATTAACTCGACATTTAAAAAAAACTGAAATTCTGAAAAATGGAAAAAATTTAAAGGGCACAGGTATATTTATATCACCTGATTTAACAAAAAGTCAGCAGGAAGATCTTAAGATCTTAAAAAAACACTTAAAAATTGTAAGAGAAGAACAACCAGAAAAAAACAGCTATATACGGGGCAACAAACTGTTTATAGACCATCAAAGTTATACGCCCAAAGAACTTGAAGAAAACCCAACTTTTTTGGAAGAAGACGATAAAATAAACCGAAAAATACCCAAGACTAACGAAACGAAGCCAACGTCAAAAAAACATCCATCTGTGTCTGCTGTTACTGGAAAATCAACCAAGCCACAAAAGTCATCCACTACATCAAATCCTTCGTCTGAAGAAAAGAAAAAAAGGAAAACCAGGTCAAACGAACAACATTAATTAAGTGTAATGTTAATCGTGCGGTAAAAATTTGTGTGTGCTAGTTAAAAAAAAATGGATATCTATGTTAGAGACTACGAAGAAGAAAAAGTGGACACAAAATGTGTAAGTAGTGATAGTTTTAATAAGGATTACTCAATGACAATAAAAAATGACTTAAAAATAATTCATTGTAATATTAGCAGTATAGGTAAGAATTTTGATAATTTTTGTTTATTTTTATCAACTCTAAATGTCAACTTTGATATTTTAGTTCTCACGGAGACACACATTCAAGATGATATTGATAAAACCCCATTTTTGTTAAAAAATTACGATTTATTATACAATTATGGCGATTTAAACAAAAATGATGGAGTTATTATTTACATTAAATCTTCTATAAAATATGAATATTCAGTTGTACCATTGGGGAACATCAAGTTACTTGAAGTCATTTTAAATTATAATAAAACAAAAATCTGTTTGAGCGCTATCTATAAATCACCGATAGTAAACATAAACAAATTTTAATCAGGATTTGCATCAATACCTCATAAGTAAAAAACGAATGTGTTTTCATATATTAGTTGGTGATATCAATATTAATTTGTTTGAGGATCTAGATCACACTGAAGAATACCAGAATATTCTAGCTTCACAAAATTTTTTGTCTTATATAAATAAAACAACTAGACCTAGAAGTCAAACTTGTATAGACCATTTCTTTATAAAAAGACCTGCTAATTACACTAATATAACTTCAT